CACAACGGCGCAGAGAAAAGTGAGGTATACCACAACCACAGAACGTAGTAAGTGATGCCACTGACACGTGCGCATATCAAGTGCTGAACTTCTAGTCAAAAGAATATACATCCGTAAGCCTTAGGTGATCTAAGTTCTTGAGGTTGCAAAAATCTTTTATGAATGTCATTGTTGCGTTGGGTATACGTACGTGCCCAACTAGGTAGCAATGCAGCCGAAGCAATATAATTGGAGCTTTGGTAGAGACCCTGTACCGGTAACCCCCATCATTGCCGCGATGTTGGTGAAGGGGCCTCCTGCTCGACCGTGCATCTTCTCATCTGCATACTTTGAATAGTTTAGGTAGAATAGCTTAGTTCGCTCTTGATGCCACGAGAGAATGGATCGCGTGGATGTTGGAATCGTGGAAACAATTCAACTGGTCGGTTATCGGTCTGTGCTCTCGAGTATACTTACTGTTGAGTCAATCCCAAACAGCAAACGGGAAGATGACCCCGCAATTCTTTTCCTCAAACGGTACTCAGGTCCGTTTAGGCCATGTCCAGTACCGTGTACCCATGTGGGAAGCTGGCAGGCGGGTCACGGTCTCGCATGGTTCGACGAATGGTAGGCCAGGTAATGCATGTCGTACCCTTTGCCAGTTCGCCAAGGCATGTAGCTGTGTATCTGACCGATCACTGTTGTAACCGGTCGAATCAAATGATCTAGGAAATTGCATCCCTGTCAAGGGGAACAGCAAAAGATGCCGTTAGCAGATTGTTGATCTTGGGCGTGGCAAGCGGGGCTGTAACAAGTGCACATGGCATATGCCTTATGTCCTGCTCTTGCACGTCTATTCTCATGCATCTTTGGCTCCTGGCATAATTGCAACATGTCTGCCCAAGGCACCACGAGTACGATGTCGTATCCTAATTTCTGGATGCTGGTAGCAACTTTCGCCCTTGCATATGCAGTTTCTGTCGCCATCTATAGACTCTATTTTCATCCTTTGGCCAAGTTCCCGGGACCGTTTTGGGCCTGCTTGAGTACTTTCCCGTCGTGGTGGCACACTCGCAAGGGAGACCGACATATTTGGCTCTACAGTCTTCAAGAAAAGTACGGTGCGTATGGTAGTATCCGTACCAAGATGACTGCCAGACTGAAACCATGCAGGTACTGAGTTCCGTTACCGACCCGATAGCGTCTTGGTCAACACCCCCTCCGCTTTCAAGAAGATCTTTGGTCCTGCTGGAAACGTGAGAAAAGCAGACTACTACAAGGCATGGCCGCGCAACAGCAAGACACACAACACATGGAATGCTACAAGCATCGAGATGCACGCGCGGAAGCGGCGAGTGTTGAACTATGCCTTTTCGGAAAGCGCTCTCCGATCCGCTGAAAAGTTCCTCCATTCCAATATCGATCGATGGTTGGAACTGATCGGTCAATTGGCCGAGAACGACGGTGAATGGACACCATCATTCAACATGTGTGATTGGATGAACTACCTCGTCTTTGACATCCTTGGTGACTTGTGTTTTGGTCAATGTTTCAACATGAAAGAGAGCGATAGCAAGCTGCGCCACGTCCCGGAAATGTTGGTCGGCTTCCTAGAGGTGCTTCATCCTGTAAGTCTACCCCTTTTTAATGATATAGGACACAACTGATGTCTGCAGATTGGATGGAGTCCATTCGCCTCCGCTTACATCTGGTTGAAGCCCCGTGGCCTTGACTGGCTCCTATCGGTCGCTTCTCCATCCGCCGTGCTACAGTGGCAGAAATTCGTCGAGAATTGCCTGGCAAATCGTACGCAAGTCCAGAAAGAGGAGGAAAAGAACCCCAAACCGGACCAAGAAACTAGAAAGGACTTTTTCTACTGGCTCTTCAAGGCCGAGGACCCGGAGACCGGAAAGCCTGGTTACACGCTAGATGAGCTCTATGGAGAGTGTGAACTGCTGACCATTGCCGGCTCTGATACAACATCGATTGTCCTATCCAGTGCCTTCTTCTACCTCGCCCGACGACAGGACGTGCAAGCGAAACTTGCAAAAGAGATCCACTCAACCTTTTCGAGCTACGACGAGATCAAGGCCGGGAACAAGCTTCACTCATGCACCTACCTGACAGCTTTCCTCGAGGAAACTTTGCGCATGACACCCCCTGTCTCCGCCGAGCCAGCCCGCAAAGTCCTTCCAGGCGGTGTGAATGTGAATGGGCATTACATCCCAGAAGGCCAACACGTCAGCACTGGTTTCTACTGCCTCAGCTTCAACAAAGACGTCTATCCAGAGCCATTCAAATTCCGACCGGAGCGTTGGATCGAATCCGACGACAAGGAAGTTGGCTCTCCCGCTGAATCCGTTGCTGCGGCCCGCGAAGCCTTTTGCGCATTTTCCTTTGGTTCTCGCGGCTGCGTTGGGAAAAATCTCGCTTGGTTGGAGATGCGTATTGTCATCGCCAAGGCTCTGTGGATGTTCGAGGTGAAGCCTGATCCTACCAACAACCTTGGAGGAGGCGACCCGCGAGGGAAGCCGGGCAGACAGCATGAGGATGTCTACCAGACGTATGAGATGTTTGTATCGGATCGCAAGGGTCCGATGGTGCAAATGAGGAGGAGGGTGTGATTTTGGTGAGCTGAGCTCCAGTGATGGATGTGGTAATATGCGTGGATATATACCGTACCTGGCGAAAGTCTATCAGCTATGGGATACCATCATCATAATTCAAACGTCGTGGCGCAATCGTTGCAGAGATCTCCAAAAAAAAATGTGGATCACGTAAGGCATGTGAAGGTACAGGAGGTCGACATAACCTACCAGTAGCGTCTTGAGCTAAATTAGTCTTCCAGCTCACTCAATTCAAACAAGTCTCCTTGCTCAAAACGGCAAAAAACCCACCATCAAACCCCATGACAATTTGAATGCTTCCTCCTTAAATACGCACTGAGATGCGCATCACCCACCCAACAAGAGAAATCAGGTCTACGATGTGCGAGTAGAAGATTCAGTAGTAAGCGAGGCGGTCACCCTTTCTCAGGCTTCTGAAACCAGCTTTTTCATGGGGACTTTCGCGCGAACCTTTGGAATAACTAAAATGCGCAAGTTAACATGGATACAGCTTACGAGAGCTCTAGAATCTTTCTATACCACCGTGCAGGCCATGAAATTCAATACATTCCACCTCCCCATACAGACCTGTATTTGCCAACAACGTTTTTCATCACTAAAGTATTCATACTACAAGTAAAACCCGCAGCTTTGTCCTATTAATCTCACACACAGCAATCAAACAAGCTACAACAATCCAAAAAAGAACTTGGGCAAAGTACCATGCACCAGTCTAGCTCGACTCGTATGATAAATTCCCATCCACACCTCTCCCACCATAAACGCCCCTCACTTTGAATCTTCCCAAACTATCGACCGCCGATAGAACACATGCATCCTCACACCATCTTTTCGCACCCGAATTCGACACGTAGATGTGGAGTAAGCAGTAAACACCTTCCCAACCCCAAGCATTTTCCACTCTTCCTGCCACACCAACTCCACATATAGTAACAGCGTGGGATCTGTACTCCCCTTGTCCTCACACACATCGTCCACGCCTGAAGATCCTTTGATTGCAGACAAGATACTAGGCCCACAAACACATTTGCCATGACTACCTTTTTTCCCAGTGCGCTGATAACAAGCGCGCGGATGAAGAATGAGCAACCGCAAAAGTGCTGGGATTTTATACCCCTTCAGCTCCCCACACAAATCATGAGGGGTTTTGGGGGGTTTTTTTTGAACACACATCTCACTGTATCCCAGATACATCACCCTGTCCCCAGCTACTGAGCACCAAAGTTGTAACTAACGTTCCAGCAACAGCAGGCACTACCATGTATGGCCGAGCCCTGGCTATTCGACCTCAAACCCAAGCGACGTAAAACGATGCCAAAGACCCCAAGGCCCCAATCCTAGACTTTTCAATCACTCATGTGATCTCACAGCATATACCCTACATCTAAACCCCCCATAACCCCAACTCTACTCTTCCCTCTCACACGCACAAAACATCAGCACGCCACATCCCATCCCACATCCCCGCGCAGCAACCACACATCCCAATCTCCGTGCTCGGGATCCGCTCTCGAAGAATGCTGTATTGCCATTGCGAAGACAATAGCTAGCTGGCTGGATCGCATGTATTTTGAACCCATCTACACGCCCCACAGACATCTTTGTCGTCATTAAAACCCCATCGCATATCCTCGACCCGCGCCCCTTTCCACACTCTCGCCCCCCTCCCTCCCACACATCTCCTCACCCATTTTTTGCCTCCTGAATCCTGGAATCCTGAATCCTATATTCCAGCCCCACAAGCCCCCCACACAACCGCACCAGCATCTCCTTCCCACCCAGCATGTTTCCCCCCGCAAAACCTTATGTAATGCCCAAACACAAACACAATACCCCCCCCCAA